ACACAGAAGAAAACATTCTTTGATGGTTACGAGGGTGGAGAGGGAGGGAAAGGGGAATTCACTACGAGATAGTAGACAAGAATTATCTACGTAAAGGGAAGGACAACACACACTACAAGGGAAGTCAGCACAACTGGTAAACCACAAGCTAAGAAGTTTCCTGAACACAACCAAACACTTTCAGGGACAGAGTAGTAGGTGCAGGGGTCTGGGGACCATGGTTTCAGGGGACATCTAGGTCAATTGGCATAACAAAGTTTATTAAGAAAATGTTCTGCATCCCACTTTGGTGAGTGACATCTGGGGTCTTAAAAGCTTGCGAGTGGCCATCTAAGATGCATCAATTAGTCCCAGCCTACCTGAAGCATAGGAAAATGAAAAACATCAAAGACACAAGGAAAATATTAGCCCAAGAGAGAAAAGGGTCACATAAACCAGAGACTCTATCTAGCCTGAGACCAGAAGAACTAGATGGTGCCCAGCTACCACCAATGACCACCCTGACAGGGAACACAACAGAGAGTCCCTGACAAAGCAGGAGAAAAGTGTGGTCCAGAACTCCAGTTCATGTAAAAAGACTAGACTTAATGGTCTGACAGAGACTAGAGGAACCCCAGAAGACATGCCCCCGGACTTTCTGTTAATCCAGAACTAAAACCATTCCCGAAGCCAACTCTTCAGACAAAGATTAGACCGGACTATAAAACATAAAATAATACTCGTGAAGGGTGTGCTTCTTAGTTCAAGTAGATAACACGAGACTAAATGGGCAGCTTCTGTCTGGAGGTGGGATGAGAAGGCAGAAAGGGATAGGAGCTGGTTGAATGGACACGGGAAACCCGGGTGGAAAGGGGGAGTGTGCTGTCACATTATAGGGATTGCAACTAGGGTTGCATAACAATAAGTGTATAAATTTTGGTATGAGAAATTAACTTGAGCTGTAAACTTTCACCTAAAGCACAATAAAAAATGAAAAATATTAAAAAAAAAAAAAAAGAAGATGGAAGGAGTACACAGAGTCACTGTACAAAAAAGAATTGGTCGATGTTCAACCATTTCAGGAGGTAGCATATGATCAAGAACTGATGGTTCTGAAGAAAGAAGTCCAAGCTGCACTGAAAACACTGGCAAAAAATAAGGCTCCAGGATTGATGGAATACCAATTGAAATGTTTCAACAAATGGATGCAGCACTGGAGGTACTCAC